ATAATTTTCATAATGAAAAGTAATCTATGAGTTATTTTTCATAGATCAATATAAGTAGGTTACACTAACTTTTGTTCGATTAGGTTGTGTTGTTATAATAGAGAAGTATTTTGTAAATTTTATATATGTTCATTGTAGAATTAATCTATTGATTAATTAATGAAATGGATTTAACAGTATAAGGTTGTGGAGATTGTGGAGTTTTTGGATTTGAGATCATAAATCAATCGATGTTAAATCATCATTGAAAACTAGAAATAACTGGATGGACATTTCATTCTAGTATAGAATTTACCAACTTTGAGAGGTGATTCTCGGAGTTTTAATGAGAAACTATGACCAGTGAAGTTGAATCTGTGTCGGATAGAGATTGATATCTATCTCAGACAATGGAAGATGGATGCGCAATTTCGTGGATTGATTGAACTTTGACATGAATACTGTTGGATGCCGGCTCAGGTGTTTAAAGTTTAAGAGTTTGTGCACAAGACTCAAGATCCTGGGTTCTAGTCCTGTGTATGGGATCGTAGATACGCACTGCTGAGGAGTCCCATTCTGGGAAGAAACGGTCGTCCAGTGCTTCCCAGTTTTAAGTAGTAGTCTAACTTAAATCGACTTCTGAATTCAACTGTTTATAATTACTACAATCTCCACAAACCGCATTTCTAAAAACGAACTGTATCAACTACATAGCTGTCAGAACAGGATGGATAGCTATTGATTAACCATAGTAGTCTCTCCGAATTCACAAAAACGTACGCATACACACATTTGATGAACGAACACTTGAGAACGACCATGAATGGCTATCTAAAGACGCATGTAAAACGATCAGAAACTTAGTTCTTGAACAAATGATTAGATCGGCTCACACCTCATCACGTGAATCGTCATTTGAAATCATCTACAAAGTAAAGAGAACTGGTTCAAAAGTGGGCTAGACGACCTTTGAAATGCTGGAAGAACTGGACGATTGTTTTGTTCTTGTATTGAACTCTTCAGATCGACTCATGAATTCACTTAACTTGCTCATATGGAGAAGGTCATATTGACAGCACAAAACGCATATTTTAACATTAAATTACCTGGCTCTCCATAGGGTCAATTCCGAACACTCTGCCCCACAGAAAGACTTTTTAAGAATTGTACATACAGTCAAAGAAGTTGATTCAATAAGAATGCAAATGAAAACCTTATGTGCATTAGCAGCTATTGCTTTCCATTAGTTTAAGCCTAACTTTATCGAGCAATAATTCATCATTCTTCCATAGTTCAAACCTCTATTTCTATCATCCATAATCTATTGTTTTCATTTATTTTGTCATTTCTACTCTTATTTAATTATTTTCACAACTATTAATTAGTAGTAGTTACAACATCAATCGGTTCATGATCTCAATCATAAAACTAATAATCTCCACAACCCCATACTGATAATTACCATGTGTTTACTAGCGACTTGCTTCGTTAAGGAATTCTCGGATTTCTAGTGAGAAACCATGATTACTGGAGCTAGTCCTTGTCGGGTAGAGATAGATATCTACCTCAGTACAATGGAAGATGGTTGCGCAATTTCGTGGATTGCTTGAGATTAGACATTAACACTGTTAGATGCCGTCTCAGTGGTCGAGTAGTTTAAGCGTTCGCGAGCGAAACCGAAGGCCATGTGTTCGAATCCCATGGGGTGGGATCGTGGATGCGCATTGCTGAGAAGTCCTACAGTAAGACGAAATGGCTGTCCAGTGCTTCTAGGTTTTCAATGCTGGTTCAACATCAATCGGTTCATAATCTTGATCAACAACTTTTATTTATTCTGTTGTTAATACCTATCAAATGGTCATCAATTATTCACCAGACGATTATTGCGCAATTGTATATATTTGAAACCTTTTTATGTTCAAGTAATAGTTCCATAAGAAATAGACATGATGATGTAATCGGAAGATTGTAATATAAGATTATGTAATGTGAGCATTAATAACACCATTATCAAGTTAGCAACAAATTATTATGTGAATGCGGTGAGATAACCAAAAATATTTAAAGTCAATAAAGGTGTGAAATTATATAAAGTAGTGATATCAGACACAATTATAATGAAATAAGACAGGGGATAACAAAATATCTCATATTGTCTAGACTTTATTCATAATTATGTCTGATATCACTTGTATCCCTATTGCCTTATTAATTACCTTCAATTATTTTAATCATCTTACTTTGTTCACCTTATGTAATCTTATATTGCAATCACCCTATTACATCACCATGTCTATGCCTTGATCACATGTTTTTATAGAACGAATACTTGAATCTATACTTACTATTACGTAATAATCGTCTAGTGAACTAGTGATAAGGTGAAATAATTGACCCTTTTTTTAATTACTGACAACATATCACTTCAGGTATTTTTTTAATTGACCCCCTTTCTATCTCCCTATACAATACTAATTTAGGAAATGTAAAATTGACTATAAATACGATCGGTACAGATGAAGTAAATGAAGTTGTCAACAGTTGAATTTGTTTGAGTGAGTCGATTACCTTCTCATTCTTCTTTTTCTTCTTCTTCATCAACATCATCATCAAGACATAATGGGTTTCTTCGGTTTTATGATAATGGCAGTATTTCAAGTAATTCTTTCCTTAGTCCCAACAGTGGTATCGATTGTACAAAGATTTACACAAAAGAATATTAACTCATTTTAATGAGTTGTCAAAATATCATCGTTACAAATGAGTTTGCCAGTGAAAATTGTATGTTTTAAATCAAGTTATTAAATAAGAATATGATTGTTAAACGGATATGTAAGCTAAATGTAACCTTTCATTAATTAATAAAATTTCTATAATGAAATGATAGTTTTTTGTTTTGATGAAACTTTTGATATTACTGAACTGTTTATGTTTATATTTTATCATTCACATGTAGTGGGTTACTTGTGTAACGGGTTTCTTTCTCCAATAAGAACAATTAGGGCATTAAGCATTATTTCCATATTATGAACCAGTATACCGTGTATTCGTTCACTCTATTTTTGCATTGTTGATGTGAAATTATTAACATTTTGTCATAAATCTCTTTGAAATATTCTTTGTATATAGTTGGACGATCGAAGGATGACTGTAGGTGATACTTACGTCCAACCACTAGCGACACTGAACGACACGACTTAGAATCGGTCACAAGATGGACAGATGCATTCATTTTTTGTCTTTCCTTAAGTCTAATCTTGTAGAAAGTCGAATTCTCTGAGCTGAGTCGCTTGTTATGTAATTTCCTTTGTTATTCTACTCATTGATATCAGTACCTAATGAAACGGATGATAATTCTCATTATTTTACAAATTGTAAGACACTGACTGAATAATAAGTATTTTCAAGTCAACCTTAAGCAACTGCTTACAATTTTCAATGCTTTAGGATTGTTACATTTTCAAAATATGTGATTGTTATTATCTAGTTCTTCAGTAGTTTATATTCACGACCTAGGATATTCAGGTCTCTCTTTAAGCGCTTAAGAGCTAGACTAAGTTTAAACATACCTCTTCAGTGGATATGGTAGATATGACTTTACTATTCTATATCACACCTAAATTATTTGAATGTGGACGTGGCTTGTCACTGGATTTCCTGGACTTATGACAATGATTATTAGAATACAGAAGATTGTAGTTATTGGTTTTCATTATACAATTATTCAATCAACAATGTAATATTTAGAAGAATTTTACTAGATTGAGTACACAAAATAATTAATGAATTATTATTATCAGAATAGGGAGTTGTGGTGATTGTAGTAATTTTAATAATCGAATTCATGAGTTAGGGCACCATTGAAAACAGAGGACGGTTGTTTCGTCCTCATCAGTTCACATTCATGATTCCGCACCAAGGGTATTCGAACTGAGTAGTTTCGCTCTCGACAGTTAATATCTAGCCCAGAGAGCCGCATACAACGGTATTAATTTCTAACTTCGAAGTTGCACGACCATCTTTCATTGTTTGACGCTGATACCTTTCTCCATCTGAAACAGATTATCTCCACTGCTTACAGCTTCTCACTACAACTTCAAGAAAATTCATCATAAAGTTAGTCATTAGCGATCACATGTTTATAATCAATAGAACATTTGTAGAAATTGAAATCATATATCGATCTGAGGAGTGTAATATCAGGACCAAAACCGCCATTCAGTTATTCTATATTTACAATCGTTCACTTATTCTAAATTCTATTCGTTTTCTATAGACCATTATTATTACTGTTAACATAACAAACTAATAATTAACACATAATTACGTATATACTTTATTTAAAAATTTTCAATCAAAGTACAATATCACATTGAACATTGAATAGTTCAAAATATAAAACGAGAATACAATATAATAGAAATAAAATAAAAACATAATTGAAATCATTTAAAACATATATCATTATGAAATTAAAAAATGAATGATCATGAATATAACAGAATAATGAAATAGAAAGAAAAAGAAACTAAGAAAGTGAAAGAGAGTTCATTTATTCATTCGTATATATCTAGTTTATACTACTTATGTTTATAGATAATAAGTAGTATGTAACACTATTCAATAGTGGAATAGAAGATTGAGAAGATTGAACTAAAGAGAGAAAAGCTAAATAAAAACAATCGACACAGCAAAGTTGTATGATCTTCACATGGATCGTTGAAATGTTTATCTATACCATGAACTAAGGTTCATGACATATGTATGGTAATAGTGATATATATGTATCGCTGCCTATTATTTACTATCATAATGTAATCATTATTAATTTGTTAAAGTTAAATTGTAAAACAACAATGTTAAATATTTAACATTCAAATGATAGGAAATTTATATATTTATATACAAACTACATAAGGAATAAGATGTATAAAGAAATCTACATATAATTGAATACAATACAATTAACATACATAGATACTTGAATTATAGATCATACATATATATCTATATATTGTGATTTATTGTTCCTTTTTTCTTTTTTGTTTTTTACATTGTTCCAATTCAGATTTATGTAAAATTTCTTTAGTACATTTGAATAGATTATTTGATATAGAATGATGTGTGTATATTTGTGGTTTTGATAAATCTTGTGATGTAACACTATGAGCTTGTGGACCATGATTTGGTTTAAATATAAAATCCCATAATACCTGATAATAATAATAATTAAAAAAATATTAATAAATAAGAGATTATTGAATATTTAATAAATTTTTTATTTGTTTAATGTATCTCTATTGGAAGTCTATGATGATTATGATGAAATAGTTGGAAGGATTGAATAAAATGGATTAAGATTTGTCTTAATAGTGGCACCGATGTTATTTATTTACTTACTTATGCCTGTTACTCTTCATGAAGGAGTATAGGACGCTCACCAGAACTCTCCATTCAACTCTATCCTGAGCAATCCAGTTGTTATTCATCTTTTTCATATCTGGTTATTGGACCTTCGTCATTTTCACTTTTTTTCAAGATTCCAAGTTAAGGCTTACTGCCTCATGCAGTTTCATGATTTGCGTAATGTATTTCCTATACATTTCCATCATCTTTTCATAATTTCCTCTTCATTTGGAAGTTGATTTGTTCTCTCTCAGATTAGGCTAATGTTGATGATATCTGGTCAATGAATGTTGAGTATCTTGCGTAGGCAACTGTTTATAAATACTTACAGCTTCTTGATAATGGTTGTATTAGTTCTCCAAGTTTCAGCTCTGCATCTGATCCACCTTGCTTATTGATGATGCTTCCCAGGCAATGTGAAGTATTCTACATTTTCCAGAGTTTTTCCATTAAGTATAATTGAATTGGTGTTCTCCGTGTTGTATTTGAGAATCTTGGTTTTTCCCTTTGTGTATGTTCAGACCTACTGATACAGAGACTGCTGCTACACTGGCTATGTTTATCTGCATTTGTTCGTGTGTATGCGATAGGAGGGCTAGGTCATCTGCGTGGTTCAAATAGTCTAATTAGTTCTGAGCTATCGATTGTATTCCGTATTTTCCCTCATATGTCGAGGTTTAGTGTTAGTAAACTGTCGACCACTAATCTTATTATCATATTACAGTTGTATAGCGTAACAAAGGGGGGGGGGTAAACCTTTTTATTTAACCATTACATCACAAATTTAACCAATTTTTTATCAGTTATACACAACAAATAATGAAAAAGATGAATAACAACTGGATTGCCCAGGATAGAGTTGGATGGAGAGTTCTGGTGAGCGTCCTATGCTCATTCACGATAAGTAACAGGTGTAAGTAAGTAAGTAAGTAGGTAAGAGTTTATACTCGATTGTTACCCAATACACAGATGGGAACACAATATATATGAAACTGAACTTATATCTAGTAACAAAGATTCATAGTATAGATTAGACAATACTTTATTCAACACAATAAAATATAGTCTACATTCATTGAGTTCATTTTAGAAACCAATAATAGATGAGCAAATCTGTGTATGTTAGTTCACCCTTATTAGTTGACAATCTGGTTTCATTTATTTTTTTGACGAAGAAAGGTGAATATTTATGTATGAGTTGTCCATATACATTTTAGGTTCGGTTAAATAATCGACATACTACTGGTTTTATCACTTGAGTAAAAATTATTGAGCACGGATAAAGAAGTGCATATGTTAGTAGGGTACTCGAATTAACAATAAACGCCGAGACTATAATTTATGAACCAACCGATCACATTTAAGTTAGCGGATCATGATTTTTTGGCACGGAATTCATTAACCCTTATGATTAAATGATATTCTAACATCGCAACTGATGCTAGTTCGTGATCGAAATACTAACTTAAATTCCCAATTATTCATGTGGTGTATACTACTTATGTCGGCAGACATAAGTAGTATGTAACATTAAAAGGAATTGGAAAACCTGGCAGCAGAAGGTTAAGATAATCAAGTTGAGTAGAACAGAGCCGGAAATACAAACGACTTGTGAATTAGAAGCCTTTTAGAGACTTCATGGTTACGGCGCCAACTGCAGTGCTTAATGCTAACGTACAATCGGTTCACAAGGAATTTTGTACAAAACGTGATAATTGAGTGGCTATAACAAATAAAACAGCGAGACTATAATTTGTGGACCAAACAATCAGTTATAAGATAACAGATCTCGGATTTCAACGCGAAAGCCTTTCATCCATTTGGCTAAATAGATTTCTAGCATTATAGATGATGTCAGTTTGTGATGAAAGCCCCATATATAATTCCTAACTCAGGCAAATTATGACAGTTATCGCAAACCGGATAATAAAAGCACCAGTAACATTGGCTACAGCCAGGTACCATAATATATACGGATGTTTGGAGAGGGTACGGACTCCTACATAGGATTGGTTATGTGCATCGTGTCGTTATCCACAAGTAGCATTTTGTGTACTCAACAACCCAAGTGCACATAAACAATATTGAAACTGTATGGTCGAGGCTGAAAGAGTTTTTAAGACTTTATCATGGCTCTGTAGCGGTATGGATGATTTCCTCTACTGCATGCATTACGATTTTAGAATCTCTGAACCTCTTTCTAACTTTGACAAGTTTTTGAACCACGTATAAGAAGTGTATCCACTTTATTTCCTTGGTTTTGTATAATATATTTTTACTCTATACTGACTGTTTGCTGATTGACTAATATTCTCAAGATCACTTAGGATTCGTTCAAAGGTCGTCTATAAATTAGAGTCTCGCCGAAGAATCATACAGAATGTGAAGGATAAATGATGGAATTTTGCAAATGAAGTATTTAATGTATAATAAATAAGAGCTTTCGTCTAAATTTGAACGAATAGTTTCACAATATTTATGCGCGCGAGTTAATGTGAGACATTAAAGAGGAAAAAATGTATTTGTAAAATCTCAGCAAATGAATATGAAGTAAATCCAACGTTTCGATAATTTTGTTGTTTGATTATATTTTCCTTGAAAAAGCTTGAACCAGATTGCCAGGTGAAACGTTGGATTTACTTCAAATTCATTCACTGAGATTTTACAAATACATTTTTTTTCATATTTAATGTATAGTTTCCATAATTTATGAAGATATTTTGAGTTCTCGTTCACATTAATTCATAACTTTCTCATAACCCTGACAGGTTGATAGGTGTTCTCAAGGTCATTCTAACCTCGTTCAACAGTCATCCGTAAACTTTATTCTCATCTAATATACAATCATCCCCCCAAATGCTCTGATACGGCCGAGAGTGGGGAGAGTCCTCTCACCATCTCGAAATACTCTCAAATGGCCATGCGTATATAGCTTCTGACAGGGAAGTCCTACTCACTGCCTTCTCGCACCACGGGTGTTGCTTACGAAATTGACAGGAAGAAAAGAGAATGTCCGGCGCTTTAACCGGGTTGATGGACATGGAGAGTTCACCTAGAGGAGTTAGAAAACACTGATTCCAAACTAATAATGCACATGGAACAAATAGTGTATAAACCAATCGTTTGTCATCAGCTACTATGGAACTGCATCTTCTTACGATGTTCCAGACCTTTAGGTTGAAGGCTCCAGGTGTAACTCCCTAAGAAAACCATCTGTTTTGATTTAGGCACCCCGAGAAGTATCAAAACCATCGCACAAATTAAATGAGATTTATGTAGCGCATATGTATTTGGTGCCTCCTTGTACCATTATCTATATGTTCAAATAATAATACTACTAATAATAAAACAATCATTCAACTAAATCAATTAAGAAAAACAAAACAAAACAAAACAAAACTTAACATCAATACCAACAATATCAACTTACTTTACATAATGATGTATGATATGGTAAATAATCATAATATTCACTAGCAATCTCTTTTAATTTAGGTAATTTTGTATATGCAATATATGGAAAATCATGATGTTCAACATGATAACCTAAATTATAAATTAAATAATTTCCAATACCATAATATGAATGTGTTGCTTGTTGATCAGTAAATAAATAATGTTCACTTATAAAATGTCCACTTAATGGATGTAAACCTAAACCAAGTAATGTACCAATAATAAAATAATTTAATGCCCATATACCTAAATAATACCATACTATTATATTAAATATAATTTGTATAAAAAAATTAATTATTTCCCATAATGTTAATGGTAATGGATGTTTTATAAATGGACGAAATGCATAAAATAATGGATGAATAATTATCCATATAAAACGACTAATTGGATGAGTAAATAATTTTGCTTCTAATAATAATGGCATATCTGCATCACCATTTTCATGTCCTAACCATCTGATAAAGAAATAATAAAAAAAGAAAAAAAAAAGTGATAAAAGGAAAGATTGATCGATTGGTTGAAATATTATCAATAAGAATCTATTGTTACAGAGTATAAACTAACTATTAACTGAATAGGTAGTTAATTAGGAAAAAAAATATACTGAAGGTGATCATAATTGATTGATCACTGGGTAGTGATCAATGTTATACGTGTCTAGTCTTTATTATCAGTGCAGATTGAATACTATCGACTCATTAATAAGGACTAGACACGCATGACGTTGATCATCACCCAGTGATTACATGAATTGTGATTACATCTCAGTCCTACAGGAAGTCGGTCCCGGCACGGATAGCTCAATGGTAACGTCTCTGATGGTGAAGCTGGGTGACATGGGATTGAATCCGTCAGGGAGTACCAGTTCCCTCAAGATTACAGGTACACCTTGCTGATGAGTGACAAGTAGTATGAAACCCGGGTCCAGGGTTTCCTGTCGACTACCTCCAACCATCATTTAATACTGAAGGTGAGTAGGACGTATATTTTGGAATTCATCAAACTATATCATAAACCAAACCATAACTTGAAATATTATAACAAAAGAAAAAAGAGACATATGGAGCAGGAAATTTGTGAGAGATATCAATATCATGATTGGTACATTACAACTACTGAAAATGTGAAGTCGGTGTGGAGTTTATGCCCTATGAGGAGTAATAGACTTAATCAACTAATTAAGTATATACATATATTTCTTGATTTAAATCAAAAGAAAAACTAGACAAGAAATTTATAGTTTAAATTATGAATAAACTTTAGTTAGCCAATCATTAAAAGCCAGAAATTATTAGACAACTATTTCATTCTAGTGTGAGACTTCTCATCAATGTGAATCCATAATCATTCGAGAGAATCAAACTTAGGACCAGAGAGGTGTCATGGTGATCGCTTAACCATTAAACGACTCAGTTAAAGTTCAACAACCACGAGCTTAATGATAGTAATTTACGAGAGATAAATTTCGGATATATAGTGAAAAACCGTGACCAGTGGAAATAGACGATGTCGAGTGTGAATTGATTTCCACCACACTCATCGGAAGATGGTTGTGAAATATTGTTAATCAACTGAAGTTAGAGATGTAAACCAGTGAATGTCAACTCAGTGATCTGAAGGTAAGATGGTTACAGAGATACCTGAAAACTTTAGTTTTCATTCACACTGAGGCTGTAGATGCACATCAATGAGATGTCTCATACTATGAAAACATAGATATTTAGTACTTTTTAGTTTTTTATGCTTCTCCAAGTGAGGTCATTTGTGATGTGAACTATAATTTAATCATCTACACAGATCCTGCTATCCTAAAATATTTAAAGTATTTTTATTGTAGAGTTATGGCTTGTTAACTAGCATATTCCTATCTTCCTTCGATCAAAACATACATGAAGAAGTTAAAACACGATAACAGATCAGTAAATATGACAAATTTTTGGTTGTTATAAGGTGTTATAAAGCAGATTTCATTTACTTAATTAAATCTGGTTGGACGTCACCACTGAAAGCTAAGAAGCATTGGATAGTTGCTTCGTCCATAACTTCAACAGAGATCAAATCTAAGATCATTGCGCCCCGCAGCCATTGCTTAAACTATTAAGGGACCAGTAGATAGATATTGACCGATAGTAATGCTTCTTAATTATTATTGATCGTCTAATCACATTCAAACTGTTATGTAAAACAATTTCCCTAACGTTGCATTAATAAATACAATAAATATAATTATATAGAATACATAAAGTTTGGCTAACATTGAAATCAAAGAGCCCATTTTTATTCTATTAAGAACCTAACAACTGGGTGTACCTCCATCAGAAAGTTGATATTCATATCGGGACTGGAACTCAGACTAGTTCTCTTTAAACATTGATGTTATCCAACTTAACTACTAAGTATAAATTCCATTACTAGTTACATTCCATCTATTCTATGTAATACTATATCATAATCACTACATCAAGATATTAGGGACATAATTATATTACTCATAAGTAATATAATATCAATATTCATCAATCTATATCAACTTCATTGATTACGAAAAAGCATTTGATGGCGTGGACAGAACAACACTATGGAAGCTTCTTAGCCACTACGGCGTGCCTCAGAAGATAGTCAATATCATACAGAATTTCTATGATGGATTAAACTGCAAAATCGTTCATGGAGGACAGCTGACAAAGTCGTTCGAAGTAAAGACCGGTGTCAGGCAAGGTTGCTTACTCTCACCCTTCCTCTTTCTCCTGGTGATCGACTGGATCATGAAGACATCAACATCTGAAGGGAAGCACGGGATACAGTGGATAGCTAGGATGCAATTGTATGATCTAGATTTCGCAGACGATCTGGTCCTTCTATCACACACGCAACCACAAATACAGAAGACGACCAGTGTATCAGCAGCCTCAGCAGCACTAGGTCTCAACATACACAAAGGGTAAAGCAAGATTTCCCGATACAACACAATACGCACCAATTAAATCATACATAACAGAGAAGTTTAAGAGCATGTAAAAACCTTTACATATCTGAGCATTACCATTGACGAACACGGCGGATCCGATGCAGATGTAAAGTTGTGGATTAGCAAAGCAGGAGCAACATATTCACAATTGAATAACATCTAGGACTCAAAACAACTGTCTGTCAACCAACATCAAAGTCATAATTCTCAATACAAATGTAAAGACAATTCTACTGTAGGGGGGCGGAAACCTGGAAAACTACGAAATCCATCATCCAGAAGATACAGGTGTTTATTAACAGTTGTCTACGCAAAATACTTCGGATCCGTTGACCAGACACTATTAGTAACAACCCACTGTGGGAGAGAACAAATCAGATCCCAGTGGAGGAAGAAATCAGGAAGAAACGCTGGAAGTGGATAGGACACACATTGAGGAAAGCACCGAACTGCGTCACAAGACAAGCCCTCACATGGAATCCTCAAGGCCAAATGAGAAGAGGAAGACCAAAGAACCCATTATGCCGAGAAATGAAGATATATATGAGAAAAATGAACAAGAATTGGATGGAACTAGAAAAGAAGGCCCAAGACAGAGTGGGTTGGAGAATGCTGATCGGCGCCCTATGCTCCATTAGAAGTAACAAGCGTAAGTAAGTAAGTAGGTAAGTAATATAATATTAATAGAAATTATCTTACCTATGATGAGTTTGATGATATTTTTTATAAGATATAGCTATAGGTAAACCCATTGGTAAATTAATAAATATTGAATATAAACGATTTGCTTTACCATATTTATGACCAAATAATAAATTATGTCCAACTTCATGTATAGCACAACCAAGTGAATGATTAATTGTTCCACTAATTGTATATGTTAAAAATAACCATATTAAAAATGGTGGTTGATAAATTGATATATATAAAGCCATCATAAATTGTAAGATAACTTCAAATGAACTTAAATAAACCAATTTAATATCTGGTCCCATTAATTGTTTCACTTCTGGATATTTTGATAAAATTTCCTTGAAAATGAAAAGAAAAAAAAGGAAAATTGAAGAAGTAGAAAAAAAACTAGGAGATTATTGGTATAGAGTTAAGGAGATTGTTGAAGTTCATTAAAATTGTGAATTGATCAATGTTAGACTACCAGTGAAAAGTTAGAAATACTAGATGACTGTTTTGTTCTAGTATGGTACTTCTCATCGACAGTGCACATCCACGGTTCTGCACGCTGAGCTCGAAACTACGACCTTCATCTTTGCACCAGAACTCCGAGAGTTACCTATTAAAGCTAATCAGTAGTAAGTACATGATAACCATCAGTATAGAGTTCTAGTGAGAATCTGTGACGAGTGGAGTTCAGTCGTGTCAAGTGTGAGGCTGCTATCCACCGATCACAATAAAAAATGTCATGCAATATTGTGGATTGACTGAAGTCGGACATTAACACAGTTAAATGCCGATTCAGTGGTTAAGCGGTTAGGCGTTTACGTACCATAACGAAGACCCTGTGTTTGAGGGTGGGGCACTGCTGGAGATCCTACTTTGGAAGGAACGACTGTTCAGTGTCTCCAGGCTTTTGATGGTGATTTAAAATTGGTTAACCCAAGATCTCAATAAAATAGAGGATACTACTTAAAAAAAGTTTGTTCTTTGTTGTGCTTCAGTAGCTTGCACAACAGCAAGTTTAATATTTGGAGTTTGAATGAACTTAAATCATAGCTGTGGATAATTATTCAAATTTAATGACTAGTGAAGCTCAATCATATGTCAAGTAAGTTATTGGCTCTAATGTATTGGGCAGCTTAGGGGATAAAGGGTTTACATTTGAAGGAAAAGTTACTGATTCCAAGTGCCATCTTGAATATTAATATAAGGATATAGGTAGATTCAGATAACGAGTTTCAAATAAAACTAATTAAGTGTTCTACATACATTGTCCATTGTATTGTGTAAAACAAATATGGTGATTTTTATGAGACCTACATACTATTGGGGTTTGATTTCGTATAAGAGAATTATAGTAGACTTTACTATTTAATGTGAGCATGACCACAATATGAATTCGTTATTCATGGACAAATGAATAAAAAATGATCAAGTTTGAAAAGTGTTCTCTATTTAAATAGAATAGAATCAGAAGGGGTTTTTGTGGATATCGTAGTAATTTCACTAGTTGAGATCGTGGGCCAATTGAAGCTAGACCACCATAGAAAATATGGAAGAACTGGACGGTCGTTTCGTCCTATTGTGGAACTCCTCAGCAGTATGCAACCAGAATTTCGCCTTCTGATACTAATCAGCATATGAGCATTAGTGAATGCTTCAAGAGGTATTTTCTGGAGTTCTAGTGAGAAGCAGTGACAAGTGGAATTCAACCAGGTCTATTGTAAGATAGTAACTCACTGAAGACAATGGTGGATGTGTCGCTTAATTTTGTGCATTAGTTGAAGTTAGACATTAACATCATTGGATGCCAGCTCAGTGGTCTAGAGGTTAAGGGTTCTCATACGAGACCGATATGTTCCGGGTTCGAATCTCGAAATTCGGGATAGTGGGTTAGCATTACTGAGGAGTCCCACAATAAGACAAAATGGCCTTCCAGTGCTTGAAGGTTTTCCATGATCTCAATTATTAAAATAGAATAATAAATATTCTTTTAATATGTTTATGCGTGTATTTCTTAAACAGTTGATTGATAGTATTTTGTTGATTGTCCTAATTTTAAGCCCTCATTTTTAATCTATTAACTCTATATAGATTACTTTTATTGTAATCTATAAATTTATTATTATTCAGTTTTATATCATAAGTGTTCTAGTTATCTACAAATTGAGATATATTACTTATTATTTGTCGTAATCCTTGGATTTTACATGTTCAGTCATATACAGTTTAAAGTTTGAATCATATAGAATAGTACAAGATGATTGTCTGATATTTTGTAGTTTAATGAAACAAAATAAAATATCACATGAGCTACTATAATCTTCTTTTCAGCATATTAGAATGACTGATTTCCTGAGCGTACGATTAATAAGATATTGAAACTGGAAATCAATGATTTCTGTTACATTTCTGTGAGAAAAATGTAGATCATATTATAAAAAATTGAATGTTCCTGAACAATTATCTTCTAGTTACGAAAAAAAGATCATTGATATAGGTACGTAGGATAACATATTAGCGATGTTGATTAAGAGTGAGTTGCACAATACCCTGAATCGATTGAATTCAAGAAATGTAGATTATTGAATGATAACTAAATGGTTTAACCTAAAGATTTCGGGTACAGTTTCAAGTGCAGTCGTGGACTCACATTGATAAGTAATCCCATACTAGAATGAAACAACGTATCAGTGCTTACTGATTCTCATTATGTGACCAACTAAGACCAGTTCAAGATGTAAACTATAAAAATCAATAGTCACCACAAATTTGATATATTGATGATCGTCAGGTTCCAGGTTTCACATTTTCAACTGAAACCTTTAATAAAAGGTCTATATATTAAAGAATCGAATTTAGTTATTTATGGAAATAGTTCTATACTTTTTTCAAGTTCAGGGTTTCATTTTTGAAAAAAAAACTAAATTTAGAAACAAAGCTAATGAAGGTCAAGTACAATAAAATTTATTTGAACAAAGCACAAATTTCTACCAGTTTTATGAATCATATTTCTAATTGAATATTGACAACTCACTTTATATATATATATACTTGAAACAGATTACTGGGAATCAAACCTAGGGCTTTTAGATATAGATGGTTGGGCCACGTGTTACGTATGCCTGAACACCGATTATCACGATGCTCAATCATGACTGGTATTGAGGATGGCTGGAAGAAAGTTAAGGGCGACCAAACCAAAACGTGGAATCAGTTATTGAAGTCACGAACTTCTAGTCTCAGCCATGTTGGTAGATTCAGACTACTTGATTGGGTCCGCGTGACTACCGTAACCTATGTCTGGAGACTCTGTGTGACATGACTCAGAATAGATTACAATGGCGTAGGTGTATACACTCTCTGTCTTCCCTTAAACCGTGAGATTAAAATTGCTTTATATCTTGCCTTCTGCCAAATAATTCCTTCTTCCTGTATTATATCCTTATACACAATCATTCTTTTATATATTACCACCATTGAATTAAGTACTTCTATGAATCCGATGTTTATCTTGTTGTGCTAATACGGTATGGCAACTTGGACCGATGTATATATGTGCCTGGTCTTACGTTGTAATTGACTGACTGCAGCGTATATTAAGACAAAGAACTATAAATTACTTCCTTAATTTCACCAATTCCGTTATCGAAATCAATCCTTGATGTAGAACTTAAAACACATTTCAACAATCTCTGTTGCACACTTAAAATAACTATAATTAAATTATCTTCAAACTATTCATTCATTTGAATTCGATATAGAGATAGTTTTAGTTTCATTCATCAAATACTGTATGAATCATTGGTACAATCAAACTAAATTGGGTGTACATGTTTTTAAGTTCACCATATCATTTAAATATGCATGTATGTCTGAAACTATTAATAGTCTAGTTTCTAGATAACTTAAATTGAGTTCTTAAAGATAGAATATGAATTTATTTAGACAATAACAAGTTATACTAAGTAAACTGTGTATATTATTTTGTTTAAGTTGAATTAAATGTTAGAAGTTCAGTTGTTTGTTGACAATCAATGAAAGTAAAAACCTTTAACCATCTCTATTCATTATTATTTATGACCATTGAGTAGACTCTTTATTGATTGGTATGTTTATTACTGTTCCTGTCTTTCCTATACTTGAAGTCAGTTATCATGAATTATTACGAATTCGTTAAGTATAGATCTTGATTATTATATTATTTTAATAGTTCAGATCACGAGTCGATTGAAGCTAGACCACCATGGAAAACGTGAAAGTACTGTACGGCCCTTTCGTCCTAGTACGGGAGTCAACAGTGCACATCCACGATCCCGCTTCGCGAGATTCGAACCCAGGACCTTTGGTCTTGCGCGCGAACGTTTAACCTCTAAACCACTGATCCGGCATCTAATGGTGTTAATGTCTAAATTAAACTAATCCATGAAACTGAGAGACATATCCACCACTGTGTTCAGTGAATTACTCTCTCACAGCAGACATGGTTGAACTCCACTGGTCACTGCTTCTCACTAGAATTCCAGAAAATACCTCTTGAAGCCAGTTACGGCCGTCCAGTGCTTACAGGTTTTCCATGGTAGTCTAGCTTTAATTAGCTCATGAACTCAAGTATTGAAAATTACTATAATATCCACAAAACCCTTTCTGATATTATATTATTAATTATATTTACTAATGTATTCATAATTAATTGAATATCCATCTCTGGTTATTATTATTATTTATTTGACAAAGTTTCACTTTAATATAAATTTGATATTACCATTTTTAAATGAAACATTGAATGTTTCATATCCATAGATATACAGATATGTAAGTTAGTATGTAATCAAAGTTTAATCACCCACTTTATGAAGAAAACTAGCTATTTTTCTCTCATTACTTTTTAAAGAACACTCACAACCATATGATGTCTGATTAGTTCTAGAAACTGTTAGGTCATACACTGTTTCCGAAGATAGTGTTGTCCAGGATTAGACAGTTGCTGGTTCGATTTTATATATATATATATATATATATATATATATATATATATATATATATATATATATATATATATATATATATATATATATATATAAGACAATTCAGATTGTAGAATACACCGGAAGATGTAAACGGACAGTTGAAGGTTATGTATATGTATTATGTAAATAGTTTGTAACTTTCCCAATAAATAAGTTCATCGCTGTTTATTGTCGTATTTTACTGTACCGATATACATACACTAATTAAACGAAAACGAAGATTTATAGTTTCGTATGATGGTGTCGGTAGAGATTCATTTTCTGGGCTGGATAGTTTAATTGAATGATAATATTTTTTAAAACAAGTTTAATAAGGTACAAAGAACAAAGTAATAATAATAGTAATAATCAAATATTCGATAACATACTTTTCGTCTTGACACATGTGGCTCTTCATCATAGCTCCATTCATCTTCATCATTTTCCATACGAAATATGTAGGTTACACTACGAAAAAAACTCCATGTATCTGATGTCACTGGAAACATAAGTTGAAATTTAAAAAAAATCAGTACACGTATCATTGATTAGAATAAAATAAATATCACATTATTATTATTATTATTATTCGAAAGACTGG